CCATCAGATTACCATATTTTTCATTCGCTGCAACACCATCCATCTTAATGGGAAAACGTATGCAAATGTGGAAGGTGTTAAAGAGGACATCGACACGTTTTTTTGTTTGAAAGCCAAGTGATTTCTTTAATCAGGGCATTAACAATCTGATTGTAAGATGGAAAAGCATCATCGATAAGAATGGAGACTATTTCATTTACTAAATGTTTTGTTTTGATATATAAGTTGGTCGGGTTTTTTCATATAATAAAAGCGACATTAATTTCTTGAAGACCTAATACATAGGTTTTCATAATCTTAGATACGTGAATGATTATAGCACTGTTAAAGCATGAGAAAGTCAAGTCAATCCTGCTGTTAATCCAAGCTTATTTCTAATTACAAGAACAGAATGTGGAACACATTCCACAAAAAATTCGTTGAAGTGTCTGTGGTTCCAGACTTTTTTGAACATCCTGTAGTTATATCAAAAAACAGTAGTTAAAAAATGCGTATTTCTATTTAACTGTTATATAAAACAGTTTCAAGATGAGTATTTTTGTTACTTAATTTTTGGAAAAATAAGCTTACATTATCTCTCAGGATAAAAATAACCATGAAACAATGGGTCTGTGCTGTTGTATTGATGTTCAATATGTATTAATGATACTCAGAATTTAAACCACAGAACAGAAATGAATGTAACACATGTAGGAGTATTTTGTTAACATATGTTTGAGTGATAAATATTGAAATATCGTAGAAAACTAAATTGTTGAATTTCTCATGAACATAGTTATGGACTAAAAGACTTATTTTCAGTTTTGAATTTTGTTTTCTTCAGGTACTATGGGACCAGCAATGAATTATCCTGAGCATCCATATGAAAATCAAATGGTAAGTTACAGAACTGAAGTTCTACGTGAAATTATTTTGTCTGTTATATATTCTTGGTTGGCCAAAAATGTCTCTAGTATTCTTTTAATTCACTCCCCACAAAAATATCTGGTACATAAATGCACACAAACAGTTGCCAAAGTGCCGATGGGTAAATAGTGGAAAAGATTTAACTGTCTTAACTTTGTGTTTATCAGCTTGTAATAACATCTGACTGAAGTTGATGTAATCTTCAACACTTAAGACACAAATAGTTTATTTCCACTAAATAATTTAACGAATTAACATTTTTGGTACATTTTATAGAACTTGGTATGGGAAATTACCATTTTTGGTAGGTTTTATAGAACTT